CACCACCCCCCCGCGGGAGATCCAGACGGCCGTGCGGCTCCTGCTGCCCGGCGAGCTGGCCAAGCACGCCGTCTCCGAGGGCACCAAGGCCGTCACCAAGTACACCAGCTCCAAGTAAGCTGCCGCTGCAGAAGCTGTTAAACTTCTCTGTCTTCTAAGCCTCACTAGCATTGCATTCTCTTGCACGTCTTGTTGATTTTTTTGGGTATCTTTTTCTATTTGTCATAGTAAACTCAAATCATGTTCAACATCTTGGGTAACATTTGGGATGTGTATGCAACAATGATCAATCCTATCTCTCAGGTATCCACAAACTCCATGTTCTTTTAATAAGAGCTTTTCCAAAGCCATTCTATTTTGCAGGGTCATCCTCAAAGTCACTTGTAGCTGTAAATTTAATTGTTTGAATCCTTTCTTTGTCACACTAGCCAATTTTTCTACCTGACCAGTTAGTCTGTACAACCAGGCCCTATTCTTGCAGGTTGATAAGGGAGCTAATACAGATTCTAAAGCCCATCCAATTTTTACTCCTGTCGAAGGTTCATTCCATTCTGCATCATCAATTTGTCATCTTTTTGTCCAAATTAATTTTAAATTTTCAGCGTTTCCTCTAAAGGGAGCCTTTTTCCAAATTGGACATAATGTTGGCATTCCTCAAGTGATTTGTTTCACTTTCCTATCCACTGGTAGGTGGGTAGACCAGGTTCCTTCACTCATTGCCCAAACTAAATGTCCTGGACTCTGAATTGTAGATTTTTTACAGCTAAATATTGTCCCTGTCATGGGCTTATACGTGTCAGTTAGTTGTAAATTATTTCTGAGTCCTCTACACCAACATCCATATTTTAATGCAGCTGCTAGGGGTAGAATATCTTGTACTGCTTTACTGACTGTGCTACAATTATATATCTTTTTACAGTTCCACCAGGATAGAATGATTTCTTTTTCCTGAGAGGTACTTTCTTTCTCAGTAACTGGGAAAGTCGAGAACTGGTTTCCATCCCAAGTAAAACACCAGGAGGTATTGGCCACAGAGTGAAAATGAGATAAGATAGTCATTGACCGTACTGAATCTCACAAAACCATCTCTTGTTTAGTTTGATTTCCGCATCCCCTGGTTGCATTGATGATCAGCTGAACATATAGTTCTGCCAGCTGTACCTATCCAACAGCAGGGACTTGCTTACAATATGTGTCATCAATTTTAAGTTCCTCACTACTCAGGTTTGTCGTCAAAATTCCCCATGGAACTGATTCACCTACACAATCTTGGGACTGGGAGACATGCAGTTATTTGGGTAACATCTTGCAAGTTAGCAAACTCTTTTATCAGTCCTATCATTAAATTTTCTTCTGGAGGAGTTCTTGGGATGTGTGTCAGCTATTCCGCTTCTATTGACAGTGGATTCCCACTCTCTGCCCTCAATCCTGATTGATCTGCCTCTACTTCAAACAATGCTCCCATCATCATCAGTCTCCAAATCAGAATCCATTTTTCCTATGTTTTACAATGATGTCCCCCCTCTTTAAACATATTTTAAAGTCAACTTTGCAGTCTCTGGATCCCTATTGATGATCTTCCATGAAGGGGCCCTCTTCACTCGAGTGTAGTGTATCCATGGTTCCATTGCTTCTACTTTGATTGCAGTATAAGTTGTTAACAGTACCTGGAAGGGTCCCTTCCACTTCTCCTGCAGTGGTTCAGAGTTTTATGTCTTTACATACATGAAATCACCTGGCTGATACTGATGTGCAGGCGTATCCAAGGCAAGTGATCTTGTCAGCATGATGTATCTTCAGAGGGCTCCAAGGACTTTTCCTAAAGAAATAAAATACACTTTCAAATCTGTTTCCCCTGCTACCTTCATATCGCTGGGATGAGAGGAGTTTGGTAAGGTTTGCCATACAAAATTTCCTATGGACTTACACCATCCTTAGATCTCAGTTGAATTCTAATTCTCAGGAGGGCTAACGGTAAGGCCATTTTAAAGGCAGTTCTTGACAGATTTTACTTGTCATTTCAATGTTTGGTTCATCCTCTCAATTTTCCCACTTGATTGTGGTCTCCAGGGGGTATGTAGGTCCCATTTTATACCCAAAAACCTCTACCTCTATCACCTCTATCAGAGGACATTTCTACTGGCACCCCAAATCTTGGTATTATTTCCTTCAGCAATATTTTACCTACTTCTCTAGTTTTGTTGTTGCGGCAAGGGAAAGCCTCTGGCCATCCTGAAAACGTATCAATCAGCACTAAGAAATACCTATATCCATTTTGTCTGGGTAACTCAGAAAAATCAATTTGCCAATAATCTCCAGGAGAATTTCCATGTTTTGTTACCCCTAAGGGTGGTTTCTTTTGATTCAGGGGATTATTTTTAAGACAAATTGGACACTTAGCTACTATTGATTTAACTATTCCTGTCATGCCTACACACACTACAGATGTTTTCAAGCTCAAAGTCATAGCATCTACACCCCAATGTGTTTGCTCGTGCTTTTCTTTTGCAAGTTCTACCATAACTTACGGGGTTATTATTACCTCTTTTTCTGGCGTTACCCACCATCCTTCTGTATTTTTTGATGCTTTCAATTGTTCTGCTAATTGATCATCCAATTTATTTCAGTTTTGAGTTTGGAATTTTTATCTGTTCTCCTGGTACCAATGCAAGGATACCTTGCAATGCAGCCTCCTTTGAAGCTTTATCTGCCAATTGATTACCTATATTTATGGCTGTCTGCCCAAATTGATGAGCTTTGCAATGCGTTACCGCTACTTTCTTTGGTTTCTGCACATCTTCTAGAAGTTGGAGAATTTCTTCTTTATGCTTTATCAATGATAGCAGTCCTCTTTCCTTCCAAATCACTCCATGAGCATGGATCACACCAAATGCATATTTGGAATCGGTCCAAATGTTTACCCTTTGTCCTTCTGCCATTTGCAGAGCCTGCTTTAAAGCCACCAATTCTGCTTTCTGTGCCGAGGTATTTTCAGGCAGGGTCCCTGACTCCAATACCTTGGTCGTGGTGATGACAGCATATCCAGCTATTCAGTTCCCTCCTTGCACAAAGCTGCTTCCATCTGTAAACAATTCCAGATCAGGATTTTCCAGGGGTTCATCTCTCAGGTCTGGCCTGCTGGAATAGACTTGTTCAATAGTTAACAGGCAGTTGTGTTCTTAGTTTCCCATTGGGTTTTCTGCTGACAAGAACATTGCTGGATTAACAATTGCTGTGGTTTTATTTCCACATCATCTTGTTCCAATAAGACAACCTGATATTTCAGCATTCTTCTGGGGCATAGCCAATGGCCCCCCTTTTGCTCCAAGACAGTTATTACCATGTGTGGTACATATACCACCATCTTTTGACCCATGGTTAACTTCTGAGCTTCTTGGATCAGCAAAACTGTTGCTGCCACAGCACACAAACATCCCAGCCATCCTTTACTCACATTACCAAGTTGTTTGGAAAAGTATCCCACCGGTTGCTTCCAGGATCCCAACCATTGCGTCAGCACTCCAAAGGCTAGATGTTGCCTTTCATGTACAAAAAGCTCAAAAGGTTTAGTCAGGTCAGGTAAACCCAATGCAGGGGGTATCATCAGTGCCTTTTTAAGTTCTTTGAATGATTTCTGATATTCAGGTGTCCAAACCAAATATCAATCTTTAGATTCTTTTAAAGCTTCATATAGTAGCTTCACATACAGATCATAGTTCAGGACCCAGAGTCGAGACCATCCAATTATCCTCAGAAAAGCTCTCAATTCCTTCAGCTGCTAGGTTCGGGAATCTGACAAATGGCTTCTTTTCTTTCATTTCCAAGTTGTCTTTGTCCTTGAGATACCTCAAATCCCAAATAAATTACTGCTTCTTTTCCAATTTGTGCTTTGCTGCTGGAAACTCTATATCCGCCTTGGCCTAGAAAATTTAATAAACTGATAGTAACTTCAAAACATTCTTCTTTATTCTCTGCTGCTATCAAAATGTCATCCAGATACTGTAACAGCATGCCTCCCCCTTGGTTCTGTTTTTTCCATGTCTCTAATTCTTTTGCCAATTGATTCCCAAATATCGTAGGGCTATTTTTAAATCCTTGTGGAAGTACAGTCCAGGTTAATTGAGTCTTTTGTCCTGTGGTGGGGCTTTCCCATTCAAAAGCAAATATGCTTTGACTCTTTTCATCCAGAGGTATGCAAAAGGAGGCATTCTTTAAATCTAGTACAGTAAACCATGTGTGTTCCTCCTTTAAAGAGATCAGTAAAGTGTATGGGTTAGCCACTACCGGGTGTATATCTTGGGCTATTTCATTTGTGGCCCTTAAATCCTGAACTAATCGATATTCCTTGCCTCTGGATTTCCTTATTGGCAATATAGGAGTATTATATTCTGATTCACATTCTACCAAAAGCCCATATTCTAAAAATTTTGTAATTAACCCCTCCGATCCTTTTCGAGCCTCCCACTTAATAGGATATTGTTCTTGTCTTACCAGCTTGGCTCCAGGTTTTAAAATCACTTTTACCGGTTCCGCCAATTTAGATCGTCCCGGAACTCTGCTCACCCAAACCAAAGAAATTACTGCATTTTCCACTTCTTCTGGAATCTGTTCTTCCCTAGGGGAATCCTGTAACGTAAACACTCTTGCCTCTATGGCTTTTGATTCTGGTATTAGTAACTTAATTTCTCCATCTTTGAAAGTTATTTGTGCATTTAATTTGCTTAATAGATCTCGTCCTAACAGAGGTAATGGACATCCAGGCATATACAGAAACTGGTGAGTTACCCATTGTTTTCCCAATTTAAACTTGAGCAGCTTTAGGAAAGGCCGATCTTCTTTTTGCCCTGTCACACCAACAACATCTACTGATTTATGACTAAATTTCCCTTTGCATGTATTCAATACTGAATAAGTGGCCCCCGTGTCTACTAAAAATTCTACTTCTTCATTCTCTAGCTTCAGTGTAACCAAGGGTTCAGCTAGGCTTGATTCCCCCGGTCCTCTTCATGATTCTTCATCCAGGGTCACTAATTTGATCTCCTGGAGAGCTGGGTCTAATTTCCCAGCTCTGGGGCATTCTTTTTTCCAATGCCCACGTTCCTTACAAATAGCACATTGGTCTTCTGCCAATTGGAAATTTACCCTCCTCCTGTCTCCAATATTCATTCCCCATCTTCTTCCTCTACCTCTTCTATTATTCTCAGTTAGGACCACCAGTAATTTTCCACATCTCCGTGCTTGCCTCACTTACCTTTCTTTTTCTCTGTTATTAGATACAGTCCAAGCTACTTCAAGCGTTTTACCCAGATGCCTAGTTTCAGGTCCTTCCAGTTTTTGGAGTTTCCTTCTAATGTCTGAGGCCGATTGACCCATGAATAGAGAGGCCAATTGTGCTGCTTCTTCTGGGTTCTCTGGATCCAAATTAGTGTATTTTCTAGTAGTCACCTTCAGTCTTTCCACAAAGGCTGAAGGGGACTCATTTGGTTCTTGTCTTCATAAACTTTTGACCAACTTAGTGCTTTTGGCATTGCATGTCTTACACCAAATAAAAACCACCTCTGATATCTAGTCAACATTCCCCTGGGTCCTGGTTGATTAGGGTCCCACTCGGGATTTGCAGATGGGAAATTCTGGTCCACTGTCCCTTGTAAATCCCCATTAGCATGTGCTCCCTCCACCTGTTTTCTGGCAGCATTCAATACCATTTTCTTTTCAGTTTCATCAAGCAAAGTATCCAATATTACTTGTAAATCATTCCACTCAGGATCTTGTGTTCTAATTATTGTCTCAATTGCCTTGGCTACTCTTTTGGGATCTTCCCGAAAGGGACCAGCGACCTCTTCCCATGATCTTAAATCAGTAACTGAGAAAGGAACTTTACCACAACCAGACCATTATTCCCTACTGCTTCTCGGACAGGGGTTTGGAGAGGAGCCTGTCCTGCTTCCCCCCTCCTTCCCCGTGTTCTTCCTGCAAATGGGCTAAATCCCTCTGCTTTCTCTTCCCAAAGAGGAGCAGAAGGATTATCAGCCTCCAAATTTTGAACCCCTCAACCCCTTCTCTGATGAGGCGCAATCATCATTAATTCAATATCATCTTCTTCTGTCCTTTTTTTTTTAAACAATTTTCATCAATATCATAAGTAAAACAACACTTTCTCAAGTTCTCACCACATATTTCTCCTTTCAAAACCATTGCCATAGAATCCTGTGGGTATATCCCACACTGTTTCTGCCATTCTGGATGATTCCACAACGTAAAGAACAAATCGACATATGCCATTTCATCCCATTTACCTTCCCTTTTACAAAACAACATCAATTGCAAAATGGTATTATATTGCAACATCCCATTTTCTGGCCGTTTCTCCCCACTTTCCAATCTATATCCACTGATTGCAATATTCAATTAATTGTTTCCGAGTCAGAGGATCACTTTCCAAATCTTTCCAATGTTTCAAGATACATCCCAAAGGTGTTCTTTGTGGGACGGGTTTCTTACTCGGAAACGTACCCATTTTTCCAAGGGACTAGTGGGTGTGATTGTGCACTAGCACAGGCACTAGTCAGAGGGACCCCAACCCTTGTTGAAGCTCCCTCTGGCATTCTAGCCCCCTGCTAGAAATCCCAGGGATTCCAGCCTCCTGCCGGAAATCCCACCCTCCTTGCCCGGGACCCTAGCCCAACCTTGCGAGGCTTTCGCCGCGTCTCATAAGCAGGCTGGTGGGACCCATACCCGCGTTTTATTCCCTTAAAAGAATGCCTTATTACCTCTCCAGGGGACTTGCTCGGAATTCTTCGGTCCGGGGATCAGAGGTTCTCCCCGAGAATCCCTCGGTGCCGGCTGGAGGTCCCGTGATCCCGCGGATCCGTTGAGATTCACAAGCGGAGTCCCATCTGGGTGACCAAAACTGTCACCAAAATTGGGAATAATCCTCGTAACACCAATGTAGAGTTAAAAGGCAGGCATTCTTTATTCGCCGCGCCGGATGCACGGGGGATCACTCCGCCTAGCGTGCATACCACAGGTTACGTCAACTAAAGTTTATATCACCTGGTTACATACATATGCATCGAATTTCCCGGAACTAATTATCATATTTACATACATAGTCATTACGCATGCGTCCTTAAAAGCTGAGGGTCGTCTCCGGTGGTCTCTGGTGGTCTCGGGGGGTGGTACCGCGTGTCCTTTGATTGACCCCCTCCTTGTGAGCATGCGCATTGTTAATGTACCTTGTTTCTTTCTCCATAGCACCCAGTTTCTAAAACACACCACAACCCTGTTACTTTGGTTACATTAAGACACTCCTTAACCTATTATTAAAATCGATAGGGTCTGCAGGTAGTAGCTTAGCAACAATGTTAGCGTTTTAACTGTCCCATCACCTTGGTGCTAAAGACTGAGATACAGAACAAAACCGCTGTCATCTTGGTTACAGCCGCGATGGGATCTTCGTTACCGCGCGGAATCGCCTTATCGTGGGGAGGAGACCGATGTGTTGGGCATCGGGGCAGAGCCGTACGCGCGGCCCTCTGTGCGTGCCGGGGGAGCAAAGGGACCCGTGTTTCTCGTGGCGCCGAGCGCTGCCGCTGGCGCGGGGCGATGCGCAGCCCGCCGGCGCAGGGCGGTGGGAGCGTCGCTGGGCTCAAGGCGATGCGTTTCGGGGCCGGGGCGGGGGGGTGTACAATAGCGTTCGGCGAGGCGTAGAGCCATGTTTGTTTCGGGGCACAAGGGTAAGGAGCTTCTGAGGGTTCCCTGTGTTTCGGGGGGGCGGGGGAGGCGCAGAGCGATGGCATCGTCGCACGCAGGACGATGTGAGCGCGGCGGAGAGGAGCGGAGCGGAGCGAGGCGTGTGTTTTCGGGAGAAGGGCGACACCCCCGGCGCCGGGCGCCGAGCTCTGCGTTCGCCGCCCGGAGCAGAGCGCTGTGTCCG